TTATTTTTATACTTTTTAATAAGTATCGATATGGCGACGTTCATTATTTATAGAATTGCAATTTTAAACCACTCCAATATTTACTCGTTATTAATATACTTACTCGTTTAATTCTCTAAAAATGAATAGGTACGTCGACATTCGTGCTACGTATTATTACAGTGAGTATTTATTTTTTTTTTTATCGGTATTGTAAAATACATTAATAACAGCAGTCATAAATAAAGTGAATTGTTTTTTTTTTTTTTTTTACTATAAAATATGTTTTTACTGTTTCATGTAATATAATTACTCTTACCCAAGAAAGTTTAATATTTAAAAAAATGTCAACTATTTTATTTAAAATCAAATAAATTAAAATAATTAAACTTTTATTCTTACTTGTCCAAAAACTATTTTTTTTTTTATTAAAATTAACATTTAATTTATTCATGGACGTTTAAAAGATCAAAAAAAAAAAAAAAATGTAATGACACAACAGTATAATATGTATGGAGATCGGGTGTTTTTCATTCATTTCATTTTTTCGTTAAATCATATAGTTGAATCTACTATTACTACACGTTTGAAAGCAATGATAAATCAAAATGAATGAAACTTAGTTTGTCAAGTGCTATAAATTTTAACGATAAAAAGTTCTGCAAATCATTGTTGGTAACTATTTTTGAAATAAATATTTAATTTGAATTATATCTTATAGGGTATTAGTAATTTTTAATTGAAACACAATTACTTAAAAATTACATATATTTATAAGTAATTAAAAATAAATTTAAAAATAATATTTTTTGACGTACATCGGTCTATTTTTTAAGTTTATAAAATACTATGCAATAGTTTAAAAGTTTAATTTTGAAAATTTTAGTAATTAAACTATAGTATTTTGTATTCAAATTTTGTGCTTTGTAATATTTTAATCGAAATAACTGAAAAAATATTGAACTTGTATAGTTTTATAACATTATTGTTAGAAAATATGTGCTGAATTTTAAGTATGATAGTTATGTATAGTGTTATATGAATATCAATTTAAAGTTTAAATTTAATTAACCTATCCACTGACGAATATAAATTCTAATTTAGTACTTTAACATTAAATTAAATTGAAATTAAAAATGAAAAACTCGTGTTGAATAACATCACTTTTAGTCGCATCTTATTAGAAACGTTCATAAAAAATACATAATTAATTTTGCATCAGTCTAATCTCTGTTGATATCATAAAACTAAAATTTCAAATTATTCCTATGAAATGGTACATTCAATTTTTATATTTAGTATATTTAACTTCAATGTAAACTCAATAGTCAATAATAAACTTTTATGAATCAAATTCAGCGAATTACACTTATAACAATAGTGAACAGGATCAATTTCAATTGACTGTTTATATATTTTTAAACTAACATTTTGTAGTATCGTAAGAATACATCGACTACGGTTAATAACATACCAACCAATATTACAAGTATCGGAACGCGTAGTATGTCCTGGTAAAACTGGAGTATAAATAAAAATGATTACCAAATAATACCAGTCTTATATTTTTTTTTAAAATACCTGACAGCGGTAAATTTTATTTTTCTTATAAAATAAGATGTTTTATTATACTTGACGTAATCATTTGTGTATTGAAAATTAAAGTGTTTTTTTTTTTTTTAGGGGGGGAGGGAGGGAGTGTAAATAATATATACTGTTTTGAAAATTTTCAGTTTTCTGATATTGTTATTTGATTTATTTAAAATTCCACACGAGGAAAATTGTTGTTCTTATATTATATATGCGTTTTTTTCTGCTAAACATAATACTTTATGTTAGCAAACGTTCTCTAAAAGTTTCATATTCCAAATATTGCATGCGATTGATTGGATATCAGACATTAAAAATATTTATATATCTATATGATATACTTTAGATTGCTGTTATTAAACTGTTAATATTTATCAAAAGAACCAAATGTAAAAACACAGTAAAAAGTTGAAAACATACTTTGCTATTCTATCTGATTTTAAAATGCAACGATATTTGGATTTGTACAGACATCAAAAGTCAAAGATGTAATTTAGCGTGACGCAGTATTACTTAAAATAACCTTCCTCAAACTAAATTCTTTCAGAAGCAAAGTTAGTTTTCAATTTAGCAATAATTATAATATAACCACTTCAAATGTATTATTGATTTTATAAGCATCTTAATACATTATCGTTATTTATTTAATGTGATAGTAGGTACTTCAAATAGATTTTTGAACATAACTTAAAAATGTATTTGATTCATAAGTACTTTTTTTTTTATACCAGATATATTTATTTTATTGTAAGTTAACTATTCAAAACCATTGCATGTACTATACGCGTAAATAAACAAATGTACTTAATGTACTGTTCTAAGTATGGAAATAAAACCAAACCATTCAGAGTTTAAGTTAATATTTTCTTTCGGCCATTTTTATGCAGTCATTTATTAACCAATTACCTAACTACTACAGGTTATTTCTGAAATAATACAAGTACAATTTCAATATAAACTTATACATTAAATAGTTATTATTCTGGCAAAAAAAAATGTTTTTAATTCATTAACAATTGTGTATTTTAATATTTTTTACATTATTTTATTATTTATATACATTAATCATAGCAATATTAATTGGTATTTTATTTTTTTGAATAGTATATAAATATAATTATAAAAAATATTAATACATTTTTTTTTATTGATATAATCGCTTCAAAAATAAGGGTTATTAGCGTTAAGGTATTTCGTTTATTAATAATATACATTTAATTTATGACAAAACGTTATATTTTTATACTAAAAAGTAAACACGTGCATATACTATATATATTAATAATACTAATTATACTAATAACAAAAAATAACATTTAACAATTTACTTAATGATAAACTAATTTAAAAACAAATATATTATACATTTAATAAATTTATGAATAATTTTGACGAAAACTAATTAATTTAAACATATTCCATCGTAATAAGAATTATAACCACTAATAATAATTATCATTTCAAAATAGTAAAATGGTACTTTTAATCAGGATAAATAACTAATTATTATAAATAAATCATTGATAATTTTGTATAATTTTTTTTTTTTTTATTGAAAATTAAATATTATAATCATTTATTTTGATTGACAAACTAATTTTAATTGAACAGTGAAATGAAAAAATAAATAGTAGATAATAATGAATGTATACTTGATAATCCATTTTTAAAAGTGAATTGGAAAATCAAAATCATATCTTTAGTTAATTATATGATAAATTAATTATTATATAGCGGATATTCTTAAATATTTTAAATAACTTGATAAAAATAATATTTATTCGGTTCTAAATATTAAATTAGTTGGTTAATCCTTTCTTTGTGTTTTTAAATTGTATTTATTTTGTAATTTGTTGTATTGAAAAAAAATGTAGTTTTGATAGTTAGTTATTGCTTAGAAAACATAAAGAAACATGGGATTTAACCATTAAATATGATTGAATATCACTTTTAAAGACATAATGTACAAATTCAATCGAACGATATTATTTTTATAAATTTTCCTTTCTAAAATCATTTAACAAAAACAGTATTACACGAAAGAGTTATATTTTTGTTGGATAGTGGTTTGACATATTATTGAAAAAAATATAATTATTATTAGTATAACATAAGTACTTAAAACTTTGAGATATTTCATACAGAAAGTTTCAAAGTATTTCTTTATAATTAACCAAAGTGAAGCCACTATTTGAAGGGTTGATGCTAACCGTATTTCGGATAAGTAATTTCATTATTTTTTTGACATTTTTGTTTGGGAGAAATTCTTCATTTTTCTGATATCTATTATATATATTAACATATAAATAAATATTAATAATAATAGTTTAAAATCATCAAACTAAGAAAAATACATCTAACGACTAAAAATATTTAAGAAGCATTCAAATTATTTACCTATATAGAATTAAATGCGTATAAAATAATATATGTGTATGTAAAAAGTACAAAATAACAGCAAAATATATCAAAGAAATAAAGTATGGTTAAAATACAGTGAGGTATGCAGAATGATCAATATTAATAATTATTTTAAAATTAATATTAGTAATCCTGTAGGTACAGAGTTTATAAAAACGAGACATATTATATCAAGTACATAGTTTTGTGCCCTTTTCTACTACTTTTTTAAATAAATAAATTTGTTAATACTCACTTGAAATTTTAAATAATTTCTATCAAGTTCTATAAAATAAAAAACTAAAGTAGTATTTAAATTGGACTGAAACTCGATTGAAAAATGTAATAGATGCATATGTATAGAAACATTTTTTATAATACCCATTATTTATTATGTATTCGCCAGATTGTAATTATTTTTACAACTGATTAAAAAACATAAATATTCAATGAAATATAATGCACTGTTGAATTTACATACGTAGATACATATAATTATTTGTTAATACTCGAAAAAATATTGTTTTGTGAGATTTTTAAGTATTTTCTATTGTTTGTAGTTACATCAGATAACAGCACTACTGTAGTTAATTATCAACATAATTATTCATACCTGTACAAACCTTTCATTGCGCTGAACTTAATTTAATATTATATACATTTTTTTTAAACGGTTTAAAAATAATTACTTGGCAATTCTAAAATATTTCTAAAAAATGACAATAAATTGTTCATAAATCAATTTATGCTATTTAAAAACAGTTATAAAACTTAATTTCGTGTAAGGTTTATATTATTTACATACATAAATCAATGTATTATAAACATCGAATAAAAGTAATGAACATATTTTTAACTAGGTATCTATGCCGTTTTAAAAGCAAAATAAATGGACTATATACACATAGGTATTATAAAAATTTAATAAATGTAATAATTATTATTATTGAACCAACTTATATTTATTTCATAGAATAATTTTGTTATAAATATATATATATAAATGAGTTTTTAATTATTATTATTTACAGGTGACTTGAGAACCGAATTCAAATGTTTATAAACATGACAATTTTAATTCAGTAGAGCTGGCACTGTGTACTCAAACGCATCCAGTGATAACATCATTTCTTTTTCACATGGAGAATATCAGCTGAAAAATACAAGGTCAGTAAATATTTATTAATCTATAAGTATTAAAAATCATTTTCAAAAACCAAAAACTTTTGGAAGCTTTGATATAATATATAACAAATAATATATTTATGTAAATAAAATAACATTTATTCCTGCAACAAAATTAAAAACATTAGTTTTTGTGATCCTTTTCAGTTATTAAACATTGATTATTAGTAATAAAATAATATAATTTTAATATATCGCATATTTGTATTATATTTTAATAGTATAAATGTACAATCTTTATTAAGAATTATGATATTTTATTAATTTGTATAGTTTTAAAGTGAATAATATCTATATTTTTACCCCGAAGTGTGTTTATAATGATAATAATAATACATAAATACAATAATAATTTATATGCTTTAGATTAAATCAAAAACTATATTTTTAAATAAAAATTGTTATTATTATAAATTTCTTAGTTAAATATAAACTTATAACAAATACAAGTTTTAATTAAAAATGAAATAACTAAAATATATATTTTATGAATTGAAATTCATACTTTTTTGATGATAAAACATTTAATTTTGAACGATCTGTTAATTAGATATCAAATTATAAATATTTAAAGCACGTATTAGCATAATTATATGTATTGATCAAGAAACTGTTAATGCAATTACTATTCTTAAATAGTAAATAAGAATTATGTATTCTTAAAAAAACAGTATTATTTAAAAAGTACTGTTTCAATGTATTAGATAATTTATCTATTTTAAAAGAAAATAAGTAGGTCAAGTTATTGTTGCGAATGAGCAATTTATCCGAACAAGCTACTTAATCTGAATGGGTCACAGGGGAAAGTTTTTATAGCATATATTGTATATATAGTTACATTTCTATATATATTAAATGACAAAAATATATATATATATATATATACTATATAGCTCAAAGAGTGATTTCAGTTTTCAGAAAAGATGAAATCATGACAAATATTCAGTATCCATTATGTCAATTAATATTTTGTATCACTCAATCTATAACAACATAATTTAATTTTCATTAAGACCATTAAGTATTTTTTTTTAAACCAACTATGCATTAAAATGTTTTAACTAAATTTTATAAAGATTAAACTGTATAATATTCAACTAAGTATTAATATTTGAGATATTAATGATTTTAATTTATAATACCGACTATATTGCGTACTATTCTGATGAAAATATTTTATCATAATATGTTTTATTGTTAAAACTAAGAATATACTCAATCTATAAAATAAGTACAGAAAAAATATTCACCAAATATTGTGGCTGAAAACAAAATTGAGTATCGCTTGTTCGAAAAAGTAAAATAATTATTGTGTCAGAGTGTCTGTCCGTTTAGAATTAAATTAAATCATTATATAAAACTTTTATTAACTTCAATAATATAATTGATTTTTTTTTTCAATGTATTATTCTATCAAAAGTTAAAATAACCGCGAAAACTTATAAAATAATTTTAAAAATTTAAATTTTTGATGCTTATTACAAAAAAGTAATTTTGTAAATCTCTATTCAGAATTTAATTCCGCTATATAAGTTGGTTGGGATTTATTTTGTTATTACCTCTTGTTATATCCTAAGTACGTTTTTGATAAATAATAGAAAATAATAAACGAATAAAATATAGCATTTTTATTCTTTATGATCTGATTGCTAATGCAAAATAGTATTTTATTTTTTTATTTTAAATTATGTTTTTAAAAATAAAAATACATTTTGAACTTAAACTGCAAATTACTACATAGAACATATGCTTTACATATATTTATACATATTAAATATTCAAAAGCATTCTCTATAATTTAAATTCTTTTTTAATAATTATTACACCCATTCAATTTTTTTCGAAAAATAAAATTTATAATACTTATACTTATAAAATCACAATTTACAATATATTTATATAATATTATGAATTTTATACACCTATTTAATATTTTGCATTTAATGTAGCATTAAAGTATATTAAGTTTATTTCAACGAATATTTAATAACATATATATATTAAATTTTAAAGAAAATTAAGTTTATTTTTATAGGTATTTATATAAATATAATAGTTTATTGTAAACAATTTTTCCCGTTAATATATTTTGTATTTTTGAATAAAAGAGTTTACATCTGTATGAGAAAAATGACATTTTTTTAGTTTTCTTAATTCTTATAACCATAAGGTAGTTAGATAGATAGTTCAGTTACATTCTCGCAAAGTATCTAAAATTAAAATGTATTCTAATAAATAATGAACTATAAAAATTCAATATTCAATATTAGTGAGTTCTTAACATTATTTAACAAAATATTCTGCTTCAACATTTAAAATTTAAAATTTAAAAGTTTAAATTAAATTTTATTTTAAAATAACTTGTAAAAAATACATTTATGGTTCATAAAAAAAAAATTAGACAACATATTACAAATAAGTTATCATCATCAGACATACATTAAGATTAAAATAAATAATTAATAGAATGCTTTGCTTAATGAAAATTATTCTATCATAGAATTATGTAAACATAATGTATACAGATTACAGGTGGTGTCTCATTAGTATTACTAATTTAAAATAGTGAGATAATGGAATTTACATTAACTCATCATGACATCTTTAAATTATTAAACTCTTTTAGTGCTCATAGGACTCTCTATATTTGCATGTAAATTAAAATTAATATATTATAAAATATGCAATGTCAACACCAACTATATTAATTTTTTTAGCGTTCTATTATTTTTAAATTAAAGGCATGAAAATATTAGCGCCGTATACGTAATATAATCTAAAAATATAAAAGACTATACAATTTTTTATTATTACTAAATATATTACAATTATATATAGAGGTCGATTAGAATACATAAGACTTGCAGTAATGCATTATAATGTATAAATATATTTTTAATACTTCGGAAAAACTCACAGAAAATAATAAATAATAGGTTCAAAGTCTTATTAATTGATAAACCGAATTTTAATGAAATTATAATAATTTGATAACCGTTTAATTTACTTTTTTTGTAAGTAATATTAATTATTTAATAAATAAAAGAAACATTTTCTCAAAGAAACTATAACAACGAATAATAACAACAAAATTAAGCAAAATATTAAATAATTTAGGTAATATAATATGTAGATATATATAATATATTTTAAGCTCTAAAAACAAGATTATAATTAATTACAATTTAAAATTAATTTAAAAATGAAAATATTCTTTACAATTTGGTTTAGTCTGGCAGATATTTCAAACTCTTTACTACTTTAATTTTAAATTAACAAACAATAGTGAAATATATTACCGTACCTAACATAATAAATGTGAATAAATATAATGCATTTTATTTATTTATTTTAAGTTAAACGCACAAAATTAATATAAAAATATCAATAATTGAAATATTAAAAAAATTAATACAATTAAAAGTGTACTTATAATTTATAAATATGTAAAATCATGAGTAGAATAGGAAATAAATTTCAAAATTACATTCTCTATGATATAGTTTTAAAACCTAAATTTCGTTGTCCATTAATTATTAGAAATGTCTCGTTTAATAATATTATCGTTCTATCCCAAATATTACTAAGGAATTTATGACATTATACTCGATGTATTGAAAATATTTATGAGAATTCGAATTTTAATAAAACTATGAAAGTCCTTTACAAATCTGAAATCAATAATGAATAGCAATAGAGTAGTATTAATTCCATTCCAAAACATAAACAAATATGTACTACATTTTCATGACTAAATTAAAATAATAATAAACAAAATTTTATTTTTACGCTTTTCTTGAACTGATTAATTATCCTAAAAATTAGATAAATATGAAAAATATTTTTTTTTAGAAATAGACTTTCAAATATTTATTTATGCTAATGCGAATTATATTCTGTCTACAATTAACCAAAAATTTTAAATTTATATTGATTTAAAAACTCTCGATTATTAATTATTTATGCTTTTAGAGTAAAACATAACTAAACATCATGATTTCACATAAAAATATAAAGATAAATTACCTTATTTCAATATTTAAAATTCTTATAATTTTAGTAAAGAACAGAAAATAAGAAAACTATTGAAAAAAATAGGATAATTATATTCATTTGCTATACAGATCATTTTGGAATATATTATAAATACGCTGAATAATTACTTAAGACTTAAACCATGATTTTTTAGTATTAATAATATATTATATATGTCGACATAAATAACCTGTAAGATAAATTGTTGATTTCTACGTATTTGAACTTCAATATGAAAAAAAAGATTTAGTAGAAATGAAAAAATGTTTTTTTTTTTTTATACTTGATAAATTTAATATACATAATTTTATATTATAAATGTAAAATATCGGAAATATTTGAAATTTAATACATAATTTTACAAAAGAATCAAATTTTAATGGTTCATTAAAGTTTTTATGAAACTCCTTTTTTAAAATATATAAATATATTATGCTATGTAAAAAAATAAAACAATAAATTTTAACTTGTAAAGCGTGCACATTATGGATTATTTATACGACTATTTTAATAAAATATTCCTTTCCTACTGTTAAATTAATCTACTTAATAATAAACGAATAGTTTACAATGTACATACAGTTAAAATGTGATTAAAGAATTAACCATTTAAAAAAAAAAAATTGCTTCCGAGTTCCGAAATAAATATTTTTTCAACATTATTTACTGAATATTGGCAGTATTTTAGTTGTAAATACTAAACCTTTATTTTAAAATTTTATTTATTTATTTATTTATTTTTTTTTTTTTTTTTGTTAATTTTATTATATTAAAAATACAATTTTAAATTTACTTAGGTTTTTAATTATTTTCAGTTAAAGTTTAAATTACTTTACTGCCATTTTTAAATAAATATTTATACAATATAATATAATACTATAATAATTATACAATCGTAAAACCAATTCGAAAATACAAACTGGGTAAAACAATGGTACAATGGTTATATAGTCTAAGTATAATGAACACTTATCTCTCAGAATTAAAACAATTAACCTTGCAATAAACAATTTAATATAATATATTGTTACCTACATTGAACCACTATGAACTGACTCAAAATATATTGCATACCTTATTTTCTCATCAATATTTAAAACAAAAAAAGGAATCTCTTATGTAACAGCTAAGAAACTCCTACTTAATCTCTTGAAGTTAAATAATCATTCTAACTAATTACTGAAAATACGAAAAAAATTAGAAAGAATTATTGAGAATACTCAGAAAACTCTTAGAATCTTGTGAACTTTCGATTTATTAAGGTAACATCCGTAATCAAAGCCTACCTATATAGTTACTTGCCGCCGTTTTGGGCAAGCTTGTCAAAAGGCCGAAGTGTTGTGGAATTTATATGAAATTTGCGTTTGGAAAATATTGCATTAGACAATAAAAATTAAATGACTCACGCAAAATAATAATGAGTAGAAAAATATTTATTAAATTAGAAAATTATTAATTTTATATAAAAAAAAGCCAAGCGAGCGTAAACTTTAACAAAGAAAAAATCAAAATCAAATACAGAGACAAAAAATGTATATTTAATGAGAACGACGAATCATCATAAATATCGTCCTCTAAATTTTATTTTTTTTTTTTTTTTTTTTACGCTACTTTTAATAATGATATAATGGCAAACCAGCAAGATATTCAAAGTAGTTAATAATAAAAAATTATTATGAACAAACAATATATGACTGTATTTATCAATCAAAAGACCAAACACTTGTTGATGATTTCTCGAATCATTTTCATGCCTCACAGATAGAATTTAGGAATATTGATCGATTACTATTTAATAATATGAAATTCAGTACATTGGAGTATATCCACGTGCATATTCGCTGAACAGTGAAAAATAAAAAAATAAGGAAAATAACTCGTTAACAATTTTTGACGGAACAGATAAGCTGTAGATCGTCTCGGCTTGTTGAAAACCTAGTGAGAGGCTACTGACGTAATATGATAATAATTATTAATATTATTAGAATATTAAGAGGGTAGATGAGAGCTCATAGGTATTTGGACCACAGCAACACAAATCGTGAAGTGTGACTTTCGCATAGTACAGCAAGGAATGAACAATAAATTATAGCAAATGATAAAATATAAAAATAAATACATTTCTAAAATAACAAGTAAATTTAACTTTTGTTGAACATTACAATCTCTTAACCAGGACTCAGGTGATCTCCGAAAAATACCGGATAATATAATAATTTCAAACATTCTTGTACAAATATAATGATTAATGAATATAATATATCAAAAATCAAAATGTAAATAGCTTTGATCAGAAATATAATCATAATCTTTTTTTATTCTAAAATACTACTTAAAATGTTACGTAATGCACTATCTGTAATCCAAATTCAATCTATATAGAGGTATTGTAAGTAACTTTTCTGAACTTTTGTCTCTTGTAAAAACTAATAGAGTGAAACTTCCATACAACAAACTTCTACTTAACATTTTTTTTATTTTACCAATTAGTTTTTAGATGTATCTTTATCTAGCCTATAATAAAAGTAGATTTAAAATATAAATACCTATTATTTGTCCCTCAAATCATTATCCTATGGTCGTAAAAATTGTTTTTATAAATATTGACTAATATAGCAATAATATAATTGTACTATAATATACGTAATATAATTTATATCACAGACAGCTCAAATTAAAAAAGAAAAAGAAAATATATTTGTTGATAATCATTTCATTCACAATCACAGCTATAAAATAATGTTTAAATTCTAACCTTCAATTCTATTAAAATATGTCTCAACATTTATTATACAACGCATGTAATTTAATTGATGGATTTATTTTCCTTCCAATAAATTAGTAAAGTTATTATTATATTGATCAGAAATTGGGCGTGAATGATAATTTTACAAAATGTCATTCAAAAATATTTCCGAATGACATAATATCAAAATGTATGGTAAATATTTGTGATTGATAGTTTTCTTTCAACCATTTTATATCTACAACTTACTTCAAATCTATCAGCGATTGTATACGGTTTTTTTTTTTTTATGTGTAATAGAATACGATGTCATGATATTAATTTATAAAAACGTTAAAAGCAAACAATTTAATATTAAAAACAATATAAATAATAATTTGTATTCATTAAATTTGTATAATAATTATCTTATAATTTAACCAAAATGTTCTGTCAAACTAAAATTTATACATTTAAAATTCATTTTATACTGGTTAGTGTTCTCTTTAAGGTAAAATTGTAAAAATGTTTTGGAAGGGACACCCTGTGTAAAAACACGCATATTTCACAAGTCAATTGACCTCTACCAAAAATGACCACTGACGAGTTTTACGAATTTAAAGTGTTTTAAAATTGAAGTGGCGCGGTGTAGCGATCGATTAAAATCGAAAAACTAGTCTGCTTATATCAAAAGAATTTGTGCAATGAACATATCTTCACTCTCAGTATTGCGTGTTATATAGTGATTTCTATTGTTGTTGGAAGAATATTCAATTCTCACATACGTGACATGCCTGCGTCTCACAATATAGATGCAGAATACCTTAGAGTGCACAATAATAATATGTGAACTAGAACTTTCATGGTAAACTTGCATAACATTATTTGTAAGTAGAAATGTCTAAGATAAGTAAAAAAAATGCAATACGATAAAAGTATATAAATATATTTTTCGTTTGTATTAAAATCTTTTTGAAATTGTTTTTAAAATATTATTTATTTTTTTTTTTAGAAAACGAATATTTACATATTATGCAATATGTAACAATAAATACAATATGTACCTGCCACCTAATACACAACTGTATACTGTACAAAAATTGATTATTTGTATTTAACATTGTTTATAATAATTTTTCAGGAGTTTTACTTTTTTTTTAAGATAGTCTATATTTCATACCAAATAAATATTCTAACAACACTGAAAAAATTATTAAAAATCATTTATAATTCAAGTTTTTTAATGAATATTGAGTAATACGATTTTGCCATATGTACTTTACTACTTCAATATCTTAAACTCTTAAAGTCTACTTCACCAAAAGTTCTTCTACCAGAATATATTGATTTTTTGATTATGACACGAGTATAATTTATTATTAGTAAAACGGTAAGATAAAACAACAGATAATTGTTTTTGATATATTTCTTTTAATGTACTAAATTTATTGTTATGGATTTTACATTTGAATATACCAAAATTACTACTCGATGTGTACATTTTAAAATGATTTATCATGTATTTTAAATTGTAAATAATAATAATATATCACTGATTGAGAAACAAGATTACTGAAGCGTAGGAAAATTCTAAAAATATTCGTGATCTCTGTTTACCGTCAGCACCTACTTTTTTTCGTTCAAATTGAGATTTAAAATAAAAGCAGGAATAAATGAATATACGGTACAGAAAGCTTTATATTAAACGGAAGTAAAAACGCGTGGTATTGATTAAACTTGGCGAGTGAACTTAAAACCTCCAGCCGTAAATTGTTGGTTTTTTTTTTTTTTTTGATGCTACATAAAAAAAAAAAAAACGAATAATTTACCTAGGATTTATTCATCCTCTATATTATATTATCTTAATTATAATCAACACAAAATCATTGAGAAGAAGATATATAAGATGTGTGTATCTACTTCCGATTTACGTAAAAAAATGTAAAATGATACTTAAAACTTAATAAAAATTCACAATTATTATGTAAAAAATAAATATTATTTTATGCATCAATACTTCTGAAATTTACGGTTAAATCATATGAAAGACGTATTAAACAATATTAATTAAAAAATATATTTTTTTAACATTTTGTTTCAGAAAATATTTCAATTGTCTTACAGGTTTATGCATTTAATTATTTTCGAAAAATCATGTCATAAAATATAAAATCCCATATTAATGTACTTAATGTACGAATAGTACTGCACCATTATAATATTGTAGTTTTTTTCGTACAACACTATAATGCAATAACAATTAGTTTTCATAAAAATTTAAAATCTTGATTATAATTTGCATTTTGATTTACCTTATATCACTAGTATTAAAACTTTTAACTACTATGTACTAATTATTATTACATTAACATAAACATACAACTATACAATTATGAATCACATGATTTTTAAACAACTAAAAATATGTAGGTACCTATTTACCTATTTAAAAATCATAAATCTTTAAATGTCAAAATATATAGTAATTTGCATTTACTAACAACGCTATAAAACATTTGATTGTTTCTTATTATAAAATATTTAACATACATACTTAACAATTTCTCGACATACAATAATGACGAGAAAAATTATGCAAATGCACGATAGTCCTTTTTTTTTTAATTAGAAGGTACCTACTATTTATAAATAAAGAATTTTTTTCACATTTCACTCCCTTCCCTTTTAAAAGAAAGTAGGTAAGTATTCGTTAGATCTAATTTTTTATTAGAACTCACTCTCAAACTCGAAATTGAAAATCAAATTGCTTTTTCTGCTATAAAAAGTGACTTAAGACACACGCAATAAAATAAATAAATAAAGGTGAAAAAACACGTAATAAATTTCATAACCATTACATTCTTGCAAAGTTCTAATTTAACCGCAACAAAATAAGGGTAATAGAATTGACCGTCTAAAAACGTACTCAAAAATACATTTAACCAAATGTTCACTGTTGATTGTTTCAGATGTCTTGACAATGACGCCAATGGCGGCAATATGAGATCCTTACCGCCGGGTCAAGATGGAATCGACTACTGTAAAATCCGCAGAGACCGAAACCACCACCACCATCACCACCATCATCACCACAACAATCACCACAGCGTTGGCAGTGGCAGCAGTGGCGGCACGCTTCGTCGGTCGTCGGCATCATTGCTGGAACCACCGTCTCCCGCCGAACGGTACCACGGCACCATCGAGGGCCACTACCGTTTGCATGACCTGGCCCTCGACCGGTACGTCCCACCGCCGTCCCCCGAACGGTATTCATCGGGCGTATCGTCGTCCAGCCGGTCGTACCAGCAACACCATCACCAGCAGCAGTCGCTGGACGATCGGTACTCTTCATCGTCGTCGTCGTCGTGTCATGGCACTACCGTCGGAACAGGAAGTGGCAGCAGCGGCAGCAGCCGCAACCACTATCTTCCGGTATCGCAGAGCACGTCTGAAAGCTTCATGTCGCCACCGTCACCAGTGGCCGAACGGTTCGACTATGCCGCGCGTCACCACGACAGTTACGCCAACGCCGCCAAACGAAACGAATCCGCTTATTCCAGGTAAGCCATTTCCAATTACTGGTGGTTCTACTCGTTTTTATCCTGTGAGTGTGTGTGTGTGTGTGTGTGTGGACCTTAATTCACGCCCGATGATAATCCAGATTTCAATATATTAAGTCATCCTGCCGCACAATATGCGTGTGGACTCGATAAATGAAAAAAAAAAGAACAGATATCTCTATCTCAAATATACGAATGAAAATCGTTTAAATTACCTTTTTAAACTATATATTATTATATACTATCTAGATACGTAAAAGTAAGCTACCTGATTAGATTTTGATCCTCAAAACAGTAATTCCCTAATCCGAAATACGTGTTTGAAACTCCATATTTTACCCTAAACTTCTATACCATACTGATAACGATTTTTTAAGACAAATAAAGTATCCACTATACCTAAATAAATTGGTATTTTTTTTTTTTTTTTTTTTTGTATCAAATACGTAGATAAAATTAATGTTGGGATGAGTATGATATTTTTATATCTACTCATTTAGTCTATATATTGTATTTTAAAAATTATCTTTTCACATTGTTGGGCTTGAACAGTTAATTGCTATACAAAGTTTACCACAAGGTCCTTGAAGTCCCTTTAAACAATATAATTATATATTCCCATGGTCCAATAAAATAAATGAAAAAAAAAACGTACAAAGCTTATTGCATATTCAGTTTTTTTAAATATATAATAAAATTTAGTAATCATATACGAATGATAACTAATTGAAGAATGAAAGAGAGAAACCATATGCGCCCATTTTAATAACTTATGTACAGTTTGTGCACATATCATAAATGAACAAAAATCAAACTTTTTATGCGCATCATCGACTTATAAACCGATGGTCATGTAAAATAATGTTATTGTGATATTTATAAGTAAGTTTAATTCTAAAATTGACTTACACTGTTTTAAAAGATTTTTCTCGAATTTTCCTGTATCATGTCAATAAAATAAATTAAATTTTCTTGATAACTCTATAAAGGAAACTATAATATATTTCTACAAGGACCTGTGAAGAATGCAGATGACTTAATACATCCTACCTTACGCACCAACCGGCCCATTATTCTCGAACAGCACAATTCGTGTCGGACCAGAAATGATCAAAACTCGTGTTAACATTTTACTAATATAGTTAATACTTAATTTCAATACACTGTATAGTAATATGTTCTCGTAGTGAACGTTAAACGACATAAAAATGGTTGTTATAGACCGAGACTCACGACCGAAATTCCGCCGGATAGTTTTATTAGTGCACACGCTCTTACAGACGTGAAAAAGCGCAATCACACAATCGAAAGTCGAATGGTGGGACGGGTGCGGAAAAATTACAACATCTTGTGTTGAAGACAAATCTATGGATAATATTGAGGATAATCGTAAACCTTGTAAACAATATGTATTCGTAAACCTTGTAAACAATATGTATTCGTAAACCTTGTAAACAATATGTATTCGGTGACTCAATATTGATTGGGCCATGCTTACTGTGGTTAGATTGATTAAGAGAACTTAAAACCTCGCCGCATTTTGCAGATAAACGTTTCGGAGAGTATTTTTTTGAAAGTTTTGATTCACAAATTTAGTAATGAGGTCCTACAATCCCGTATGGTCCTCCGTTATAGACCAACAGTCACGGTAAGCTTCACTGAGACGAATAGTTCCATAATCTATATAATATCATATTTTATACTATTATATATATATATATATATATATATAATAACGGTATAATATATACTTGTGGTGAGTACCACGATATTCTTTGTTCGTCATTAATCATCAGTCGTAATCTGGGTTTCTACTATATCATATTGTATAGAGTTAAATATGGTTCAACTTATATATAATGCGTTACAAACATTTTTTTATCTACATATTAGATACACGAAACACAACGAGAAACAATGCAATGGAATACGGAAACCTAGCTTTAAAGTGCTATATACGTATTTAATTATCACCGTGTGCCATGTTAGTCGTGTTTTAACACAATATACCTATGATATCTATATCAAAGAGTTGCGAATACTACTTCATCGTTGTTGTGCGGTAAGATATTTATTAATGACATCTAATGAAATCGTTTTATCTTTATAAATAATACTATTTAATTTGATGAATAACAAGACAATTCTGAACGCTGATTATTTGGTCTATTACACGTAATACATTGATAGTGGAATAAAACATCTTAAAGCTGGATTTCCATTTCATGATTGCATCAGGTGCGTAGGTAGGATTTTATTTTTGCTTGAAAGGATATTTTATAAATTTAAATTTAACTTGCAATGGTTTCACACACTCTTCGTTTCATTCATCTGTCTTCATGATAATATTATGAAATAGAATCATATTATAACAACATATTTATGTATACACGTATATCAAAAGCACTTCGTAAATATATTTTTCGAATAAATACAACCAAACGGGGAGAGAGATTAAAAAACCAAAACACCTTCTAAGCCATTGGATTGCATTATCTCATAATTTCTTTCGTATATTTATATAGAATATTAATGACACGTTACCTATAGGTTAAATAATATTCAATTCTACATGTCACGGCGTTTTAATTTATTCAATGGAAACTCGGCTTAACTTTTTAGGGACCTACTATAGTCTATAAACCGCATTGTATGGTTTGATTTTAAATATATTCAACTTATACATAACTTGTTACCAATGAAATGAGTATACTAAAAGACAAGACGCAATCTAGCGAGATAAAACTTACGACAACGTTTTTCATCATCCGCTTAACTACCGACCTATCAATGTCAATTTTTTTCTTTTTTTTTTTTTTATCAAACCATTAACAAATTAAATGAGCCATATAACTACCATTTCCAGTCCAACGAAATACACAGTTTTTTTTTCCAAAGACTACATGCCATGGTTAGGTAAAGTTAGATTTAGGTTAAACTTAGGTTCTTTGTAGGAATAGTGAAAATTATAAATTGTATCCACATCTATAACGCTATCTATTTAAAATGAATTGTATTTACGTATAACGCATTATTTTTTCAGTTCAAGATACAAAGAATTTGAGAAAAACCTTGGTAAAATTGGTTTATGGTATAATATAAATATTAATAGTTTTATTATATATTATATCGTTACTTTATATAATTCATATTTTTCATAAATTCTATTTATAGTTCACGTATATACTGTTAATTTATGTCTGGATACTTAAACTATAATGTTATTTTGCTATTTTGGCTGACTATGGTATAATTAGATTAGGTGATTAGGTGTAAATTCGAAGGTGAAATAAACAAAAGTTTCTTCGTTTATAGAACATTTTAGTAAGGATAAGATGTATAGTACATATACATCTCATTTAATAACTAACATACTTTGATATAATAAAACCAATCAAAATATGTAAATAGCATTTTTTTACACTTTTAATTATAAATAATTCAGCGTTTGTGCTAAACTATATTTAAACTCTCTAAATATTTTATAAAGGAGATTAAGTACTAATATAATAGTTATAATAAAAAAATTTACTATTAAAAAAGTGTGCAAGTATGTGTGCTTTGCTGTACAGTAAGAGTCGAGTAGATACCATTATAATAGATGTATTAAATTTAAATTGATCTGTCAGCCTAAGATATTTGATATGCCTTAAAGTTTTAATTGACAATTAAATAGACAAATTATTTTGAAACATTATGTTCTAAACATTTCATGAAAATTGCAAGTATCTAAAATTATTTGTTTTCGAATTATACTAAAATAACAAAATTAATTTTTATCAAAAACTAAATTTATGTAAAAATTTCCGTTTTTCCTTAATTTTATTTTCTTGGTTATTAAGTAAAATATTAAAAAATTTTACTTTTATTCCCTCAAAAACGAACTAGATCTAATTCATTATCAAAATCCATTCTTGTAGTTCTAAATTGAAGTTTTTTTACTACCAAAAAATGTGATAATAGTCACCAAAAAAAAAAAAAAAAAAAAAAAAAAACACATCATAGTAAAATCAATATACATTAAATACGTTTCGCTCAAAATCTAAAAACACACATCAATAATTAAATATAAATCAATAATAATGATTATCCTGTATAAATATATTAAATTACTACTAAGATATTTTCCAAATAAATAAGCGTTCTTTTCCAATTTTTAAAATAAACGTGACGTGACCTTTTGAAAAATGTGTGCGCAAACGATTTATCAAATTTCAGGTCAAATATCTAAAATGAGCTCAAACAGTTGACAGCTCTCTATAATACTATAATACTCTAATACTCTATAGTGATCCCTTGGACCTTAGAGGTATGTAATACGGCTATAGCCTGCCTCTTATATACTGAGTTTATAGTTTTTTTTACAGTGAAGTTGGCAAAAAATCATGACATTAATAGAGAGCTCATCAGTAAACACTTTTCTCTGTTTTCCTCACATAGAAAATAGTAAGAAATTCTCTCCGTATTTTTCTCATTGTGATTACATTGTTTAAACTTTAAATTGAGGTATTATAACCGATTATAAAAAATATAAAGGATAACATTATCTGTCTATAGTTGGAGGTTTTTTTTTAATATTATGATTTTAAAAACAATTATAATATTTAAATGTCTTAATTTGTTTAATTATTTATAAATTTTAACTTATTAAAAAGCTTCTGATTAAACACAGATAGCGTCTTTATAATTTTTTTAATAGGTTATAATACCTTAATTCAGAACAATTTAATCTCAATGAGTGGATTATGAAGAAAAGTTTGTAACTATATTGTAATAGGTATATAAAGTAGGGAAATAAATTAAACTGATGTGCTCTCCTAAGAATGAATTAGATAAAAGGATACTTTTTTTGTATTAGGGTTATCTAAAATTTTTATTTTATTGTTCGTATCATAAAAATGAAAACAATAAAACTATACGATAGGAAAACCTATTGATACATACCTATAAAAAAAAAAATAGCAACTTCAATTTAAGCTAAATGTCTAATGTAGTTCTAAAAAAAATATTGGTCTCCTTTACTTTATTGTCTATGTATTTTCAATGATTGTAGGAATCGTTTAAATGATCAAATAATGCTTTAGATCTATTTAATTTTTCTGATGCTATTTTTGACGTACGTTATTATAGTACAGTGAAATATAATACAATAGATTAATTTTCATTATAGATACAATGGACGTTAAAAATGCATTGATTTTTTTTTTAAATGTAGGTTTTAAAATAGGGATCAATACACTTTGAAACGTATACGTTACCTAACAAATTACTATAAATTTACTATTCCTACCTATTTTTTTAATAAACATAGTTATAAGATACCTTATTTTAAAATTTAATTTACGTATTACGAAATATATTTTTATGCATTTCCATTATACTCGTATAATATACGATTATATGAATATAATATTACAAGCGAAACGTACATTACACGTCAACGGAACATATGTTTTAAGTTTAAAGCCATGAATGATTGAGAAAAATATTCTTAAAAAATATAATTACTTAAATAATATGAATAGAGTTAATTACTGTTTCAACCATCTCTGAATATGTTTTTCTTTAAGAACTATAACTCTCAGTGTAAATACATCACTATTTTTAATAGGATAGTGGTTTCAGAATTAAGTCATTGTGTATTACATTTTTACCAATATGCCAATAATATGCGATGTCCTAACGTAGTTACCTATAAAATGAATCCTTATGAAACAAATATATTTTTAATTATTCCCTTTAATAAACTACATAATATCATCATACGTTTATGAAATATTTACATGTGTACGTATAAAATTAATTTAAAATTCATAAAAAATGTTTTTTAATGTGTGTTCAGTTGACAAAAGCTATACTTATGCAAAAAAAAATTGTAATTATACGAGTAAATTAATTTTTATTTTGTTTATACTGCTAAATTTAATGCCTAAACGAGTAACGCGTGCGGGTTTATTATTTTAATACTTCAAAACTAAAATGTATAATAATTGTAATAAAATGTAAATTCAAAAACTTTAATTTAAATACGTGTATAATAAATGTTTTTGTCCTGAGGGGGTCAAACCCAAGACCCCTGTAAATACGCTTCTGAACGTTAAAACTATACACATAATACAAAATATAGCTTCCAGCTAAATCACTAGGTAATTTAAGGTATATTTACTACCTTTAAAGTGTGTATACACGTTATACGTACACAACCTGCAGCAAAATTTAAGATAGTATGACAGAGTATTGATTATATAAGTATTGTATATGGTGTACTTACCCCAAACTTACCTCCACATTCGTGTATAAAATATGTGTTAAATATGCGTAAATACGTATGTGTGTGTGAAAAATGTTCATTTTAAAATTTAACAAAATCATATAAATGAATAACAATACACATGCATATTATAATATTTCCTTAACAGCAAAAAATAAGAAAAATCATTTTTTCCAGTATAATTTTTTCTTAGTTGGCCGAATTTCTCAAAGCTTTTACGAAAATAAACACGCCTTTATATACGTACGTCCTGCACGCAAATATGTACGAGGGTGGTGTATCTTACAATATCAACATTTATTTTCTATTTTAACTGATTTTTCTCTAATAGTTTCAAAATATTATAAAATACGATTTATTCCTTTGTACGGATATAGTTATACGTACTTAAATATATTCCTTAGATTAAATTTTTTTTTTTAAACAATAATACTGAGTATTGATTGAAGATTTCATTACTTTAATAATATATTCATAAATACATATAATGTGGGTCATCACAATAACACGTAATCACAATGTCACCGTAATTTAAAAAAAAAATTGATCACGTGTAAACACTTGTTATCAATACATAGTAAAGCAATAAAGCTGGCTACATATTAATTTAAATAATAGATAATTTATTTTATATGTAGTTAAATTAAAATTTTAGTAAATAACATCAATAAATACGTATGTATAATGTAGTGTACGAGTACGCTCATGCATATTTTAAAAACTCATATGTATCCGAGTTTTTCAACATTAAGCCATTGGAGTATTATTATATTGCACAAAAGTGCACTTAAACTTTGTGTGTTTTTAATTTTTTATTTAAATTTGAACGTTTTATTTTGTTATTTTACAATTTTACATTGTGTATTTTAACATAATCGGGAGAAAAATTCTATCATATATTATATCATATACATTATACAATATACATACATATTATACAGGTAATTTAATACAATAATCGCATCTCATCTCATCTCATTTTTACGTAGATAAAATAAATATAATATCAAATATCTCACAATTATTTGTGTCTTTAATCATTATAGAAGGAATCCGCTTTTCTGTAATTACGAAAACACCCTTTATTTCCCGTGTATATTAATACCGGGTAATATAGAAGTGTCCGTATTGAAAACGTATATCTACTATTGAGGCGTGTTCTTAAACAAAGGTTTCATCATCATAATATGTACTGCACGAATGGATCGACACCACATTTTTTCCTTTTTCCCATGTGTTTATAAACTTTATGTCACTGAAATAGTTATTTCAATGTGTTATGCTATGCACTTAAAAACATTAAAATATGTGGTATAAATAAGAAGCGAGTAAAAATTAAAATTTTAAAAATCGTGTTTGATAATATTGTAAACTGGAAGCAAAAAAAAATAAAAAAAAAACGTTTTTTGAAATTAATGTCTTATCATAACATCTTTGCAAAGAAGTGTGAGATATTTTTTATCTTATTCGGGATGTTCTAAAAAATGTACTACACGCGTCATGTAGGTACAAATACCAGAACTGCCGAATCCCCGCGGCTTAACGAATTACGTATAATAACCATTAATACGGTACGTTTTGTCGCAGATACCACATACCGGCCGAGAGGTTTGTTCCGATCGTTTCTCCTGACGATGGTTACGACGGCCACTACGACCGGTGCGACGACGCGGCGTACAGCTCCCGGAAAGAGGCGGCCGCGCTGTACTCGAGGGCGTCGGCGATCGTGGACGCGATGCCTTCCTCGGCGGCCGCGCTGTCCAGGGCGTACGCGACAGCCACCCTGAGACCGTCGAACCGCTGCTGTACGGGCCCGCTGTACAGCGGCGGTGGCAGTGGCGGATTGGGAGGCAGCGGCGTCGGCGTCGGCGGCGGCGGTGGCGGTGGCGGCGGAGGGTGCGGTTACCAGTACGGCACCGTCGGTCGGTCGCGGTCGCCCAGGGACCTGTCGCCTTCCGGACTGGTCAGACAGCAAGCCGCCCACATGTCTTCCACAGGGTCGCCGCCGAAAGGTCCGTCGAACAGCAGCAGCAACAGCAACAACAACGCGTGCCTGGTCCAGTACGACGCGCACTCGGCCATCACACTGCCCCGGTGCAGTAGCGCCAACGTCGTTTGCGCCGGACAAAACGGTTACGACGAACCGGCGGCCAACAGTTACGGCGGCGGTCACGCGGCCGCGCGCCGCATATCGTCGTCGTGCATCAGGGAGAGCTCGGCGCTGGCGTGCTGTCCGACAGCCGCTTATTCGGGCAACGCCGGGCTGTCCGGCGCCAAGAGTGCGGCGGCCGCGACGTCGGCTTCCGCGGCTGCGGCGGCGGCGGCGGCGGCCACGTCCACTCAGTCGGCCGTCGCCGCAGCAGTAGCGGCAGCGACGACCTCCGCGCAGCCGTCGACTGCCGTCCAAGCTTGCGGCAGCGGAAGCAACGGCGGCAACAACAACAACGCACACTGTCCTCCGACTCAACCCAACAACGCTTCGTGGTAAGCATATACTATTATATGATATTATTAAAACGTGTAGCGATATAGGTTTCCAGTGTCTTCTCGAAGACGGAGGGAGCAAAATATTAAGTCAATCGACTTGAATTAAGTCAACGTTAAGCGTAGTAGAGCACACATTACGTAGTCAATAGTTGATAACAAACAATATATACAGTAGACGCCGCTTATAAGACTCACTTTGGGACCAGCACAAAGTGAGTCTTATAACCGGATGAATCTTATAGGCGAAGTGGAAAAAAAAAAAAAATTAATTACGTATTTATAAATTTTATTTTACTACATATTTTGCTTTGATTTTAATACATTAACACATATTACATATTACATACTTTATTATTGAATAAATTTAATAATCCCGATAAAAAAAAAAAAAAAACTAAAATTACAATCGTTGTAATTATCGTTGCGATAAATGTGAACTTTTATCTGCGATAAAAATTATTATACGTTATAAGGTACCAACAGAAACTAGAAATAATCAGCACGAATATTGTTTCATTTTTCAAAACCAATTTATTTCTAAATTATAACCAAAAAAGTTTATTTTCTACTATTTATTTTACGAAATTTGAGTCTTATAACCGAAGTGTTGAATCTTAAAACCGATTTTTTTTTTTAATGTATTTGGATACGTCCGGACCGTTCCAGACGATTTTGAGTCTAATAAGCGACTGAACCTTATATCCGTGAGTCTTATAAGCGGCGTCTACTGTATATATATTTAACTTAAATAATAATCGTGGTTTTAAGTCAATATGGACACGTAATAACTGAAAATGCGTTCTATGCTGTACCTATACTGTTATCTATTATTTGTTGATTTTTTTTTTTTTTTTATAAATCAATTCATATTATCTGTTGTTTAATTGAACAAAAAATATAATTAACGAATTACTTTAAATTATACGGTTATAACTTATAACTTTATAAGTAATATGTTTTCTATACATGTTATGTATTATTTATAAACATGATTTTAATTTATCGAATTATTTTTTAAATAACTAAAAAAAGGTAATTTGTTTAAACGAATTATTTTACTAGTTAATAGTTAGGTCATAAAATCAATTAGTCATATCTACCTTTGTGGTTTCTTATGATCAATAATTGGAATTTTTTGTGTAGAAATTCAAGTCGGTCATTAGTTGTAACTATAGGTTATTGGTGAGAAATATGAAGCTGTCGTATTTAAAACAAATAATGATATGTGATAACTAACAAATTAAAATCTTTGAAAAGATCTTGTTTATATTTTATTTAATTAACTTACAAAGTTTAGTAACTAGCATTCTTCAGAATTGTTTTATCGTTATTACGTTTGTCATTATCTTCAAATGTACACAATACAAATTAAATATATATAAACGTAGTTACTATATCAATATTGGAGATAAATAAGAAGAAACATTATGAGTTTTCAAAGTTCAGTTCTCAATTTATATCTATCTATATACGTACATATATATATTTTTTAATATCTACCAATTTACCTATACTTGTGCGATGACCTTTAGCTAATAAAGAGTATATAACCGAGCCAAAGACAACATAATACAGAATTTTACACATTTTTGATAACTTTTGAGACAAAATTGTTCATAAATATTTTTATTAAGTACTTATGTCTGAGTATTGAGTTTTTAATTAATTGATATTAACTTACTTTAGACTTCGTAACCTATGTAATCCTTACGTGACTGACTTAAATCTTTTAATCCTTAAGAGAAGTGCCGACTTTGTTAAGATCAGTCCAAAATGTACATTTATTTTTTTCTATATTTATACTATAAAACGTTTTAATATTTATTTTTTTCTTTAAAACAGTATTACTTATTATAACTTATCATTCATCAATTCTACTTGATGTGCTTTTTGTACAGCTTACACACGAGAATATTATAGTTCCCTCCAAACAATCCAAACTTTTAAACACTCATAGTAAGGGACCTAGAAAACTAGGGGAAGAGATATAAATAAACCTCTGAACTTTTTTAATTTTTCATAAGTAATTCATCGTTGTTGATTTTATCACATGATTGATATTCACATTACTTAGTATTCTTTTATAATTAGCTATTTACGGTGTATAATATAATGAAATCGTCTTGTCTAAAAAATATTTTTCATCATTTAATTCAAAATTAACACTATAATCAACTGAACGATTAAAATATTATTTACACACATTACTTTTTTTTAACAAATGTATTCTTTGCAATTCACTTTATTATACATCTTTTTTTCTATAAAGAAATATAATGTATAATACAGATATGTCTTTTACATTCAATAATGATATCGTTTTAAAAAATTAAAATTTTTTTTTTAATTTTTATTTCAATTATGGAAATTCTATCCCCACGCGACTATACGTGTAACAGTATACGTCACGCAAACTGAAAACCTATGATTTTATTTATGGGTATAGCACAATATTATAATACCGCGACCATGATTATGATCGTGGAACAAAATATTTAATTAAAATCATTACCCTTATTTTGAGGAATTATCAAAAAAGTTCAACGAACGCAACTTTTTTTAAAATATCACTATCTTTATATCTACGTTATATTTATACTGCATAACAATATAACATAGTCTAGTATTGTCATTGTAAACTTTATACTGCTTCGCATATTAAAGAGTAGAACGCGCAATACATCAACTTATTGCTAATGATGATGAAGACATCATCTATCGTAAGTCGTACAAAAGGCATTCAGGTCTTCGAAACATTTCTATCATCACATCACTTTATTCGCAAACGAGTTAGTTATTTTAAAATATTATACTGTTATAGACTACTAGAACATCACGATTTTATATACCTGTTAATATAAACGTTAGTAAATAATTAAATTTGTCAAAGTTTAAAAAAATGAAACTTTATGAAATATTGTATATCAACTGTTTATTTATCTCTAAGCGTTATAATGATACAACATATAATGTGTTCATCAAAACTTTATAATGACAGTGAAGTGCGGTTTTCACTGTAAAATTAAACTCCTAACCGTGTATGTAATAGTAAGTAGATACTTACCATTTTTTAAACCATTTTTAAAAATAATTTCATTGGAAGCTAAATTACATTACTGTACATCAACGTATACCTACAGTTATTATTATTGCTATTAGAAACTTTATACCATTTATTAGTACACAATTGTTTAATATTGAATTCCGTTTATTCACTTATGGTTAGACTTTATGTTTTCGCTTATTTATTCAAAGAATTTCGTATTACATTTTGTTTCAATTTTTATAATTTATTTTAAATTAAAAAAAAAAAAATCATTTAATTTAATTATAATCATTTTACAATTTAAGTTTTAACTTATAACATAATTTTTCATGTTTCTCGCCCAAACATAAAAAAACGCTGCACTCTCTGTGTAAAAAAAAAAATTTTATTGTAAAGAGGGTTTTTTAGAAACTTATTTGCAAATCAAACTTGAAAGCGTACTCGTATGAACTGTGAAGGTAAAACTGCCTAATATAATAAAATTAGTATGATTCGTATTTAGTTAAATGATAATAAATTATACATAAATTATATATATATATTATATTTTTACATAAACTACAGATATAATGGTTACTTATACTATTACGGTTTATTAAAAAATTGTAGTTTGCAGAGTAGAGATTTTAAACTATACTTATTTTTTATTAAGATTTTCATGTTAGAAATATTTTGAATACCTAATACATAGATCAATTAATTATATCTCCTGAGGTTATTTTTTAATATACACATTCATAATTCACATAATTATCATATTTAACCAAAATAAACTTATAAAAACTAACTTTTTATCAGAGTTATCCATCATAAACAAAATAATAATAATAATAATAAATTACGTACAGCTTAAGTAAATTATTTCTGTAATAAATTGATTCGTTTTTTTTTTATTTTATAAAAGGTATAATTCATTCACGTATAATTTGACCATTTCAACCAGTACAGTTGGATATGTTAATTTGTTAAATTATATAGTATAACTTTCGACTGATACCAAAATAAAATAAAATATATATATATATTTACGTAGGTTAATTTATAAAACGCTGTTTAAGCTAATATATGTAGGTCGACACAGGATTTATTCCGTTCGTAGTATTTCCATCGTAATGCATATGGTTACATAATATCACGTATATATGATAGGTAGGTATATAGGTAGGTATTCCTACATGGCTTTTTTTTGTCATGTTAATATTTTAAAAAAAATGTGTTTAATAGTGAAACGTACGTTTGAATAAGCATCAACGACACGTCCATATAACTGCAATAGTTTTTGCAACCCTACCGCGATCGTTAAAATTAAATTTACAGAGTAGGTATATATTTTGTTTTTAAATAAGTTTACAATGTATGTGTGCGTGTGTGCGCTTGTGAAATATCCTGGCAGAAGTATTGTAAATTATCAATATTGTCGTCGGAATAAGAAAATATTATTTCTAACAAAAACAATATAATACAATTTACTACTAATTTTACAGTTTATATTCGCATTTTGCTTAAATCCACGCGTAATATATTATGTATATATCCTACACGTATGACACATATAGGTACATACATATATCATGTGTTTTAATACTGACGATTATGAAAATCCTGAAGCGTATCGATAATGCGTTTTTGTACACCGACCTACTGTGCCGGTTATATATTCGATATTTCGAAAATATGGCGGTATGAAAATCGCGAACTACGTATTATACGGTGCATCTTCGAGTAGATATAGGGCACTTATTATTGCTGGTTTCACATTAATTCACAATACAAATACCCACACCGCAACACACGTATTATATCCCATACGTATGCCTAACCTGTATTCTTGAGTAATCAATATTTTTTGTTTTCAACTCATAAATGCCACTCAACTCCACACAGATACTTATTATAGGTACCTGCATTGACATTATATTGTTATTGGATTTCCGTATTATTTTCACTACTTAAACTATTATTTTGCGTAATGGCATGTAGAGTGAAGTATAATAGTTTAATAAATGCCTACAAATAGAATAATTAATATAGGTAATTATTGTTAGGGGTATAGTTATAATTTCTCACAATACCCCGTTATATATATAAAATTACACACTTACATTATTATTAAATTATGTTTTTTAGTATTTTTGTTTTCTCGATTAACTCCTTGTATACGGTTTGTTTAAATGATTATTTTTATAAGTAATTTATCTAACATTAAAAGGTAATTATTAATATGTATAATGTATATTCTAGCCAAATCAGTTTTCACAATAAAGCGTAGGTACTGATATACTGTCAACTTATAAATTTATCTAATTTATATAGATTGACGATTAGATATACCAATTACTACCAATTTTTTTGATTGCATTGTTTGTTATTGTGACTTATACTCCTTGCAAACTATATTTCTCATTATAGTTACAAATTTAAACAGGAAATATCTGTTTTTTTTTTTGTTTTTTTTTTTTTACTTTTTTAAGTTATATACGTACAAAAAATAGATGAGTCACTTTGAGTTTATCTTACACTTGTTAATAATGACTAATAGATATTATATATATTATATAGATAATATGTGTTCAAAATCAATCCAAGCAGCAGATTGTTAGTTTTCATATATGAACTATAGTTTCAAAAATTTCGAAAAAAGCACAAAAAATTGTCAACAGATAATAAATTATTAAAAATTTATAAATAAACTCTTCAAATAAAAAAAATTATCGTTGAATAATCAATATGTTTATCTCCAAATATTAAAGAGACATATTATAAAAGACAAACCTTAACCTACTGTTTCATATCTTTCTCGATCGTGTTGTTAACTCTGAAGTGGTATTATAAGTAGTTTATTATTAAAAAAATTATTTAATTTTTTTCTCTGCCAAAATCTGTAAAAATTATAATGTACAACGCCCAACCAGCTTGCGCTGTCGCACCATTCACATCCCCTCCTCAATTTTAGACACTTTTTAAATGCTTCAACTATTATGTATAGTACAGTCAACGTCGCACTTTATAATACAATAAGTGTTATATTTCCACTCTTATATAATGTATACTTACAGTATTTTTAAAAACATTGAAATAACAACAATGGTAGTCGACGAGTAAATAAGGTATCTATATATAGATTTTTAAATTGTTAGTAAACAATACAATGTATAGTTACACTGCTTTTTAAACTTTTGTCTAACAATTTTTAAATGATAAATAACAGTAATTACCCATAGTTACATGGTAATATTATATAAACCAATGGTGGAAAATTTATAGCTCACGCGATGCGCACCAAAAATAACTCGTGCGCCAAATTGTAACAGCTTTCAAAAATATTTATATTTTTTTATTTAATCTAGCATACTTGCATTTGAATCGAAAATATTTATGCACTGAATACTTACGCTAACACATAATTGTAAAAGTTAATTTTCCGCATTTTTTACATTTTATCATTGTATTAATTAATAAATGAAATTAATTATTCTACTTGTGTTTTATTAAAATATTTTAAGTAAAAAAAATACACAATTGATATAAAAAACGTTAACTGAATTTTTTTTAAATCATCTCACACAGAAAAAAAATGTTAATAGGCAAGTAAAATTTTATACGTGACCCGGAAAAGGTTTGCCACCCTGATATAAACTATAATAAAATTGTACTTAACTATCGGACTTTCAAAAAAAAAATTATTTATTTTATAACCATAAATAATTTTTTATGTAATATTTTAGAATTATTTATTAATATGTTAAGTATATTAAATTATTATACTGTCAAAACTAATAAAACTCGAAGAACATTTATTATCACATATAAATACTATAATTAAAAATTCGTCATTGAAAATGGCATATATCATCTATAGATAAAATTATAACTAATTATAAATTATCATTATCTGAATTGTATAGAAAAAAATATCTTAGGTGTTTATTTCATCGTTTTTGTCAATTACAATATAATACTACTATTACTACCTTTATGGCTATTTATATCTAAATTATGATTTATAATATTTTAAAAAGTTACCAATAAAATATTTTATTGATCTGTTAAGAATCTCCGGAAGAAACTGTGTGACCATACTACTGATCAGTGAAACCCGCGAAGTCGCATAACTTAATATAGATACCTATTATCCTTTATAATTTTTTGCATATAATAATAGAATATAATATATTTATTGGCCACCTATAGATAATAGATACATTTAATTAAAATTTCAATAACAAAATAGCGAAATAATGGCCCAACTCACTGTTAAGGATAACCTCGTATTAATGAATTTTAACTACTAATAATAATAAATAAAAATTTAGATAATATAATTATAAAAAAAGCAGAATAAATAAAATAAAAAATAAAAATAGAATCAAATAGGTATTGTTATTAAAGTTTAAATAAAAATCAATCGAAATCAATCAAGTTCGCATCATGTACTCAGTACTCTTAAATGTTTGGGTTTAGTCATATTTTAACACACTTTTTGTATTATATATTATGATAGATCTAATTCAAAACCATATGCCCATATCTGATTATGAGGGAATAATAGAATCTTAACTCCCCCTAAAATGTCTTTAATTTTTTACTAATGTTTAAATTAATTATTTATTGTTAATAACATTAATAACAGCATAAATATTTCAATTATAACAAGTCGTTTTAAAATTCTAATTAATTTGATTTTTCAATGTTTTATATCATATGACAATATTATTATAGCTTCGAATAACACACACACATTGTTATTGATATCAATTACGACTACTGTCGATGCCGGTTTACGGTCGGTGACGATCAATGACGACAATATTGAATTTTTATAGACTGTAAATTAATGTTCAATATAATATAGATCGGCGGACCACATTCACGAATCGTCATCGTTTTATTGCTCTGAAATAATATTTATTTTTTTCGTTAAAAATGAGTACCTAGGTAAATATTGAAAGAACGTAGATTTAATATCAAATTATTTTTGACCAAATGGCAAGTATAAAAACCCAAAATATTCGATATTTACTTAAAATTATTATTAAGTACAGTATAGGTAGGTACGTACTAGGTAGGTACCTACATATTTTTGACTATCCCCCCCACCGCAACAAAAAAAATCTGAACACAGCCTTGAGTCCGATAATCGTAATGAAAAATTAGTCGAGCTATACATCTCAATAGTACCAGTGTGGCGACAGTTTACTTTCATTTTAAAATATGACCATGGTCACGGAAAGCATCGCGTTCTACACTGTTGCCAAGCGGAGACCAAGTTGGTTCGTAATCCACAATAGTAATAATATAACTAACGGCGTCTATGTAAGATGTACGACCATCTGTGACTACAACACTTGTCTTATCGGACCCAAATCAACGTTCGTGGCATTATCAATATAAAATTGATCCGCTTCCGGGAATTGAATTTAAAGAGTATGTTTGTTTTTTTTTTTTTTTTTGATTTAATGACAGTTGATAATAATGGTATAACGGAATGAACGAGTTTTTTTTATTTATAAATTGTTCGCGACAACCGGATACCGTTTTATCAATATGTAGGTACCTACTGCACAACTGCACGTCCTCGAGTGCTCGTAGCTCGTATCTCGTATTCTCGTATGATAATAAATATAATATACCTACCATAACAACATAATTTTATGACAGTAATTTTATAATATTAAATTTCATATCAGTATTAACGTTACGCAACATCCTTACAATGAAATACTGTCTTGACAGTCCGAGTCCATACTCCACATATTATCTTCCGCACAACGCAAAATCAAAATTGTGCCATTGAGACAGCTATCAGGTATTCTGGATTACCTATTAATTTTAATACCTTTATTAGCTAATAAAACACCAAATTTAATTGGGAGAATATTTACGATAACCTACATATTTTGTAATTTGAAATTTCTAATCGGAATATTATTCGTACTTCGTAGTATTTAAATATGTATAAATAAAATTTCGTACGAGTGGTTTAAAATTTTAGATGAGCGGACTGTAGACTAGAATTTTGCGGGATTTTCTTATGCCACCCCACCTCGTTCATCAAAACTTAATACCTACAACGGTTATAATTCATAAACTACCAACTCATTTAAAATTTGATTTTACGTATCGAAAATCTTTGAATAATTTTCTACTTCAGAACAAAATATTAAAAATGTATATTATCGTTTAAAAAAATGAAATCTTAAGAAAATAATAAATAAAATTGTTTAGAGAATTTTTATTTTTTTGTTGATTACCATAATGTAAAAAAAAAATATTTCAAAAACCTTTAATTATTTTTGAAATAATAGGTAATCATAAAAAAATTACTTAGTTTATTAGTATACTATTACGATTTATATATTACGGGGATCATCATATCAGTAAAAATAAAACTATTTTTGACCTTTGTATCATCCAACAATATTATCTCTGATAACACAATGAAAAAATACGTGATAATAAGTGACGTTAAGATCTAAACTAAGACCATTAACGGTATGAACATTAAAATCGAAAATCCTATAAAATGTTCATGATTAAGATGAACACATTTTTTACACTTTTCTGAAACCATTAATTAATAATTAGTAAAAAATATTTATAGCAAATCGAGATAGAAATTAAAATAAACTTTATAAGCAGTTTAATTTTTCATGTTTTAATTTTTTTTTTTTAGGAAACCTGGGTTTACTAAAGGGTTGACTATTCAAGCTCAAACAAACTCAAGATCTCCACCACTTTCCATAACTTCAAGCCCTGGATCAATTCAATCATCTAGCAGGTATGTTTTAAAATGAATTTTATTATTAGTTAAATTCAATGTTATTGAATAATTTTGTTTTTCTAGTTCAAGTAGCGGTGTCCATTCGGCACCTCCAAATATGGAATCCACAGCTGAACGCAAGTATGACCCTCCATTCAGGTCCATGTCGGCGCCTGCACCCAGTAATTCACAACCATTATCTTCATCCACTGAAGTGACAACTGATAACTCTGAAGAAACTGCTAGTACATGTACAGTACCTGCCAACAGTAGTGGTTCAGACCAACCAAATAGTCCTCCATCAGAAACTGTTTATCATCCAAAACACATACACCATCAAACATCATTACCAATTTTATCATCAAATATTTTAAACAAACCTAGAACATTTCACAGGCCAATGTCAAAGACAGAAACTGTAAAAAAGTAAGTTTTTGTTTAAGTATGAATTTTACATAAATATTAAATACATTTTAGTTTGAGTTTTGAGAAAGTACCTTAGGTATATTATATTTTCTATTTAAATTTAATCCTTATGACTGCAATATGACTTAATATTATGCTTGTTTACAAGAAATTGATTTTATGTAGGTATAATGTATGTAAATATAATAAAAAAATGATTTAATGAAAATATAAGAGTATAAAAACAAAACTTAAATATAATACCTCTTATTTTTAATTCCAATGTTTTACATTGGTGTTGTAACAAATCTAATTAATTTTTTTTTAATACCTTAATAGTTTTTGTTTTAAGAGTACTATTTAATAAACACATTTTAAACTTTTCATTCTACCTAATAAAAATGTGTATCACCATAATAATTGATAATCATCAATTTGTTATTTATTAATTTGGTATCAAAGTAGTAATTTTAGTTTCTAATATTTGGGGCTGATCAAACTTAGACCAAATAGACTTGTGGAAAGCCCTTCCTCAACCATTCATGTTATCACTTATTTTATACTTCTATGTCATAACTATAATTTAATTAATAGTCATAAATTACATTAAGTTCGATGATTAAGTAGTTAACTAAAAACAACTACAATGAAGCCTCTTTAAAACTTTACTTACATAAAATGGTGACTGTAAGTTAAACAGAATTCATAGGAGACCTTAAATTCCATAAATATGACTTTAAGTGATATACTGTACCTACATTTTATATTAAAAAAAATTGTATTATCATTTTTAATTCATATACACATTTATTTTCTTACAATTGTAAATATATGCTTATTTGTTTTATATAATCATTATATAAATCACAGACTAACTTATAAACCTATCTAGTCTGATATTTATTTTCTGTTATAATTTCTTACTGGTAACCTAACCAAAATTGTTAATGGTAGTGATGAAAGCTTATACAAGTTACAATAAATCTAAAGATTTAAAACAAACTAAAAATTCTCAAAAATAAAATTGGCATTATTTTGAAATTGTTTTCATCTAGCATTTCAGTTTGAAAAACTTCTACATCCACAATAAGAAAATACTAAAAATAATGTTAGCTATTGTTTTATTACTGGGTATAACTAGTTCTAGAACCAAAGCACAATTAATGTTTGTATATTATTTTAGGATATATGAAAGGGTAATTAATATTGAATTCTTAAAAATGTTATGATTAAGATAAAAGTTATTTTCTTATTTTCTTAGATGTACATAATTATTCTTTAAAACTTATAACTGAATTTTAGCATTTTTTTTTTTTAAACGGCTTAGTTTTAAAATTATAGGGCTTACCTCCCCCTCCCTTCCAGATTATATTTGAAGGTGACATATTGAGTTTAAAGATGATCATTTTAAAATTGTTTTTGAATAAATTATTCTTATATAGTATATTTGTAATTGATTTAATAATAATAAATAATCTAACAAAGTTTTTTTTTTTTTTTTTTTTTTTTTAGTTTTATTAAGAGAGAAACAGCTATGTTTTTTGGACTTGATGAAGAATTTGAAGAAACTGAAAAACTTAAATGGTTAGATAGAAGAAAACGTTTAGCAACTAGAAAATATGGAGAGTTAAAAAATGAATACATTAATTCTGTAAATGAAATTCCCGTAAATCAAATAGCACAGGTATTTTATCCAAATTTAATTTAAATAATTTACATATTATTTTGTAATATATACTAATAAGAAAATTATAATTTTAGCCTGATGTATTACAATCTAGTCGAGATATTGATGAACGAGATAGTACCAATCGTGTTCAACCTTTAGGAAGGAAACCATCTGTTGCTAAATTAACATTAAGAGGATTATCTTTTGTTATTTCGGTATCTACTATATAAAATTTATTGTGTAATGTATCATACTATGTGTATTTTTAATCATTTTTATAGAAAACACTTAGTCGTAAAAAGAAAATAATATCAACTCCAAATGAATGGTCTCGAAGTTATCCCTCATCCGTCGCATCTGATGCTCCAACAATTGTATCCCAAATGACTGATGATGTAATTTTTGTATTAAATATATATATATATATATTTATAGTGATATGTATTGATATATTTGCTTAAATTTTAGGTGTTTTTTGATCGACTCTCCTCGGATAGCGGCGACCAAGGAATAGAACAAGAAGTCGTAGATTCTGGTGGAAATTATGAAAATTCAATTAGACAACATTATAAAAAACCACATCAAAGTTTCAGAAGATATTCTAGTTGGCAAAGAAATCCATCAAGGAGAGCTGAAGATGATCATATGCCAAACATTGGAATGGGTAGAATTTGGGGCAGAGTATTAGATAGAGCATTTGATAACTCTGATAGAAGGCAGTATGGAATGGGTTTTATTGGAAGAGTATGCAGGTACTAATTAAATAATCAATTTAATTAATTACAATAATTACATTCATTATTTAAACGTTTAACAAAAATATTTTAGACGTTCATTAAATAAGACAGTCATAAACAGAAGGGATGTGAAACAACAGCTTGATGATTTAGAAGATCACAGACCGTTTTTTACTTATTGGGTGACAGTAGTTCAAATTTTAGTGCTATTCTTATCAATATTTTCCTATGGTCTTGGACCTTTTGGTATTGATCTCAGTCACCAATCTGGTGCTGTAAGTACATTATTTTATTTTATTTTATTTATTAAAATAATAATCATAATAGCTTAATACATTTTATCATGTAATATATTAGGTCATGGTCACAAGTTTATCCGTACAAATAATTGAATACATAGAACCTTCAAATTTTTGGATTGGACCACGAGCAGTGAGTTACAAATTTATTTTATTCCATCAACATTTTTTCTAAATTTTAACTAATTAATTGTTTTTATATTATTCAGGCGGATTTAATACATTTGGGGGCTAAATTTGCTCCTTGCATGCGAAAAGATAAAAATATAATGAAAGAAATTGAAAAATGGCGAGAAAAAGAGAGAGAAACTGCTTGTTGTATAAGAAATGATGACTCTGGATGTATTCAAGCATCAAAAGAACAATGCACAGTAAGATATAATTATTGTATTTCTATAAATTAATATACCTAATTTATTTATCTAGTGCAGACTAATCTATGTAGACTGTAGAGTCTACACTTGATAATATATTATATTATTATTTGTTATTATAAAGAATATTACATATTTTTTCTTTTGGTTATGTTCAACATAGTACTATAATACTATGTCTTATTTAATAATATAAAACAAAACGTCATCTTACATAAATTGTATGCATTTAAATTAACAAATTTATAAATTGTAAACACTAATTTTGTAGAAATTGTTTATCTCAACTGTTCTTCTGAAACAAAAATAGTTTTTGTTTTTAACTTCAATAGCACAAAATAATCTGTCTACAAAGCTTCATATTGTTTAAAACAGTTATAAATTGCAAACATTTTTATGCTATACTTACTTAAAAAAACTTTTTCTTTTTAAAAGTTCACTTTTTATAATACTATAACACTAGAAAATAACAAAATTATAAATTATATACTTTTCTGAGAAAAATTGTTTATCTTCATAAAAACATTTTATTTTTATACATATTTCCTTTAAATTTTTTTTTTTATTTCTTGTCTCTCATTATTGTTGAACAATGATCAGAGTTGTATTATATTTTATATTATGTTTAAAAAAAAAATTAAGTAACATATTCAATTTAAATTTACGATGTTCATAGTGACTAATGAGTGCTTAGTTAATTAAATGATAATTAGTGAAATTATCTATTGAAGGGCTGTCTGCCAATATGTGGTCTACTACTGTTTAGTGCACTGCCACCTTACTATAAATATAAATATAGTATGTGAACTTGTGGTGTACTTATTAATGTTTTATGTTCTACTTAGACTATAGCTTGGATACCTATATCATTATAATTATTGTATTATTTATAAGTATTTATGTCTGAATCTTTTTCAAATACTTAATGTTTTAAAATATATTTTACTATTGATAACATCAGTTTAGTTGGTCATTATAGGTATTCATTTTTGGTGTGTTGTTGTTAATTAATCTGACTAGTAAATGAGTAGTTTATTTTTAATTTTAATCAACTTTTTAAAATGTCTGTAAGCTAATATAAAATAAATTTTGATTAAAGAATCAATTATTAAATTACTCAGTTATAAATAACAATAACATAAATATTTTTATTGTTATAATTATTTATTTGATGTTTTGTGTAAAATCACTAAGTTTATTATAATTTAAATTATAGATCACAAACTATACTTTTATTATTATGGTAAAAGGCTTATTGGGAGATGAACTAAAAATCTAATATATAATAATTGTATAAAGTGGGAGCTATCATCATTATTTTCACTTTTTTTTTTTCAATTATTAATAAGGATTTAGATCTCAATATAAACTATATAAGTCTTTTAACACTGCTACATTTATACTTCAAATAAAAACCAATTTTTTAGTGTATTTTATTTTATTTTTTACTATAAAGTTAAAAACTGCTACAAAATTTTAAAAATTGAGGTTTTTTTATTTGTTTTAAGTAAAGTTTTTAGTTTTAAACTTTGCTTTTAAGTTTATTTAGTAGCAAGTGATTTATGTAGGCAACAGATTAGAGTTATTCTCAAAAGTCAAATTTGATCACTGTAAAAAATATTTAACCAACAATTTGATAGTTTTATTCTTATCGAGTGTTTGTCTGTTTGTACTGTTTTTAATACCATCTCACAAACGACTGACGGATTGGGGCGGTGGTAATGGTGGAGGAGGTGGAGATGGAGATAAACCACCATCGGTAAGAATATAGAATCAAACATAAATTAGCTGAATGCTATTGCTTGAATTGTTGTGATAATGATTATTTTTTATTATTAAGATGATAAAATTTTTGAATTTTGTATATTTTTCTTGAATTTTACACACTTAAGATTTTTTATTTTATATTTTGTTTTTAAATTTTATTTGACTCCTAGTAGTATTTAAGTATTTTTTATGTAATAAAATGTAATTATTTATTGTATTTTGATAAATATATTTTTAGATGTACTTTTATCTTTATCTCTGTTTCTTTTAATAATAATTTGAATGCATTTTTAGAACTATTGTAGTTATGTTTTGTTCAATAACTTCATGAAATAATTGTCATAGTGATGATAATTTTATTATATTTTAGACATCAATCTCTAAATGGAAAAAATGGTCAGAAGTAGAATCAGGGCCTGGAGGAAGAATATCTGGTTCTGTTTGTGGCCTAGATCCAAAGTATGCAATTGTCTTATTTTTTTATTATACATGTATAAATAAATGACTGGTTTTTTGTTAGGTATTGTGAAGCTCCTGCATCTATAGCGCCATTTGAATGGCCTGACGATATAACAAAATGGCCAATTTGCCGTAAGATGAGTGGTAGAGGTAGTGCAAGACATAGCAGTTGGGGTAGTCCATTGATTCAGAAACTAACATCTGCTGAACACATGATTTGCGAAGTAATAGGACACCCATGCTGTATTGGAATACATGGCACTTGTCGAATAACTACAAGAGAATATTGTGATTTTGTACATGGTTATTTTCATGATGATGCTTCGTTATGCTCTCAAGTATGTAATATTGGTGACTGGTGTACAAACATTAATCATGTTATAGATATATTATATTAAAATTAATTACTTTTTTATTTTGTAGGTTTCATGTTTAAACGATGTGTGTGGTCTCATACCTTTCTTTTCTCCTGAAGTTCCTGATCAATTTTACAGATTGTGGATATCACTTTTTATACATGCTGGGTAATTATTAAACATTTATATAAATTAATTAAAGTTTTTAAAATGATAATCATTTGAAATTAATATTTTATTTATTTAAAAATATATAAAGTAATTATAAAATTTTTACTAAGAAAAAAGAGTTAACGTATAAAAGTTATTTTACTATATTTTTAATTTTTTTATTTTTTAAGCTTCAACTGCTGTAGTTATTAGCTTTTAACAGAAATTACTACTAACCATAGCAGTTGAACCTTAAAAAATAAAAAAAAATAGATAATAAAAAATATCTATAAATATTATCTATTATGTGGAAGAATTGTATAAAAATTAAAAGAAATTAATAATTATAACTTAAATTATATCATTTGTGTGTAGTTCCAAATTAACTATCTTAAAATTGAATAACACAATATTTATGTGTTCAGTAATTTTAAGTATTAGGTAAATATTATATTTTACCTGAAAATGTGTAAGTCAGTGTAATTGAAAATATAGTTTTTACATTATTATCAAAAAATTTAGATTTATATCTCTTATTTTATTTATTATTTTTTGATTTTTCCAGTATTCTTCATTTAGCAACAACAATTGTAATACAATATTTTTTGATGAGAGATCTAGAAAAACTGACTGGTTCTTTAAGAATAGCTTTAATCTATTTGGGTTCTGGAGTGGCAGGTAATCTTGGCAGTGCAATATTTGTGCCTTATAGAGCTGATGTAAGTAAATTCATAATCTTTTAAATTTTAAATTTTAAAAACTAATTTTATTTTATTTATTTCAGGTCGGTCCAGCTGGTTCACAATTTGGCCTTTTGGCGTGCCTTATAGTTGAAGTATTGAATTGTTGGCCTATGTTGAAAAGGCCCGAGCAGGCACTTTCAAAACTATTAGCTATCACTTTTCTGCTGTTTCTGCTCGGGCTACTGCCTTGGGTGGACAATTTTGCACATCTATTTGGTTTCATTTTTGGATTCTTATTATCTTATGCATTGTTGCCATTTGTTTCATTCGGACCATATGATCGTCAGAAGAAAATTTTTCTAATCTGGGTGTGCCTGTTATCTGCATTGTTCCTGTTCTTGTTGTTGTTGTTACTGTTCTACCTTATACCAATGTATGATTGTGAAATGTGTAGTTATTTCAATTGTATACCCATAACTAAAGACTTCTGCGCCAATCAGAATATTAATTTTAAAAAGGATGATTATACGGTATGACAAATGTGGTGGCGACGGTGCAAGACCGCGCATACGTTAGTGACAACATTTGCGAATTGTTTTGTGACTTTAGCCACCTCCTGTAAAATGCTTGAGGTATTCGTTGATATTTATACTCCCTTTTCAGTGGTAAAAAGGAAGAATAATAAATTTAATAAAATTATTATAGTGATTAAGAAATTTACTTACTCAGTTTTATGTAATTGTGCAAAAAAAAATTCGTTAAAAATAATCAAATTGTATTGTTTCTAATAAGTTATAGTATTAATTTATTTACATTGATAATGTACCTATGTTACATATTATTAGTATTGACTGAATTATTTTATTAGTATTTTATCATTCAAGTGTGAGGAATAGCTTAAAAATCAGTGATAAATTATAATGTTATAATTTTCAATTTTAAGTATAAGAAAATTAATTAAAAATCTATTTGGTGAATTTAATGACTTATTGATTGAAAATTGTAATTCATATACTTTCTTTGGCAGTATTTTAAATCATTCCTTTTTAGATCACACATCATTTCATAAAAATAATAATTTTTGACTTATAGAATAATTATTTCCTATTTGTGGTATGTAATTTAAAAAAGTGGTACTTACTTGTTTATTGCCTCGTCACAGCACCACCACTTCATCACATCATTGGTAAATTATCAAAATTGAATATTTTTTTTAATAGTTTAATAAAACTCTATATTTATTTGACTAATTAATTATAGTATGGTTAATAATAATTAATACTTCACATCATTTTATTTAAGCAACAAAAATAAACCATAAAAATTAATTTTTAACAAAATTTTGAAATAATATTTTAGAATAAATCCAAGGAGGTACTTATATAATAAATACGATATCAAGATTGAAATATGTAACAAAAAATTATGATAAATAAAGTATAATATTTTAATTAGACAAAATTAAAATATAATACAACATTTTAAATTTTAACCAATTGAATATTTTTCATTTTCCTATAAATATACTGAATTTGCCTGTATAATATCGAAATACAATGATATGCCAATCATGAATTTTGAATTCCATTGAAGAAAGGCAATTAGTGGTTGTTTGATGACGGAGCAATATAATTAAATACCATAAAACTCATAAAAATAATACATAAATATATATATATATATATATATAAGAAAATTAGTTAGAGATTCGAAAATTTTTTAATTTTTAATATCATGATTTGCAAAGTAAATTATTTTCTTATACTATTATATTTAATCCAATTTTTAAAAGGCGATTTTATTATTTATGAATCATTTAGATTTATAAACCAATGATTACACATATTTTATACAGGAAAGAACTAGAAAAATAAAATCATATTAACTGTCTTTTTTTTTCTTTGTATGCTATGTTAAATATTTCCGCACAGATACATAACGTGTAATACAATAATTAAATATTATAATAATTGGAGCATTACAGATCATAATAATATGTATTTATCTAGCAAAAAAAAAAAAAAAAAATGAGAAAGTGTTAATTAGATACTTCAGTCCAAAATATTTTGATTTCAAATTTTGTAAATAATACAATTCTAATTTCTAAAAAAAAAAATATATGTATAATAATAATCATAAAATATATCTACAATGTATAATGTGTACGATATAACTTTTTATAACACTTAAAATTTAAAAATTTTTTTTATATAATTTTTCATTTTAATGTAGATAAAGAAAACCCAACAGAATTGAAACGCAGCTGAGATAACTTAAAGTTTAGGTAATATATCGTAAGTCTTATTAGTGTAATGCTTCAAAGTTCAAACACTATGCAAAATAGTATCCGCAAATTTATCCTCGTTTTTTATAACCGTGTTCGTGCGCATAATAATATTCTATATTTTGTATAATTGTATCTTATTGGAATAATATTTTATTGGCTGTCACGTTAGGTATACACAGTACAGATAATTCACATTGTATAGTTTGGGTACCTACCTTTCTATTATAGTAATATAATCATCGTGATAAATAGGTACTTACAAATAGTATTTTCTTAGAGTGCGTTTGATATTGTGTTTGAAAATTGAATACAATGAATTAGGTACGAGCAATTGTACAGTTATCGTACTCGCGTCTAATATAAGTCGACCAAACTCATCGTAATTTTTATTATTATTATTATAACGAGCGAAACCCGTTATTAAAATAATTTTTTTTTCTGAATTCTCAGGGTAAAATCCTCAAATAAATTTCACAATTGCGTTCGATGATTTATTTATTCATTCGTTTCGTTATTACCTATAACCCACCGAAAACATTCTCTCCATTTCGTCACTCACCGCCTCATAGATATTTTAATATAATGTATTATATTAAACAACATTTGTTCTTTCATATGTACTTTAACAAGTACATATTAATGTATTTGTAGTAGCCAGTATAGAGTAGGTACTCGTAGATCACTGTGGTAGGATGACGAGACCATGATGATTAAGTCCAGGGAGGTTCCCAAATTTTCGTCAGCTTGTAATGGCTGTAATACACAACAGTACATATTATTATCATCCAAGTACGGGCACGTCTGCTTTTTATAATTTATAATACCTATTATACTTTTAATAATAATATGCACGTTAAAATGTTATATGATGTTATTATAATATTAAGACTGTTAAATGATAAAAAAAAAAAATTGTACAGTTTAGATTATATCGTATTAATAATAATTATTATTATAAAGTGAAACAAACGTCGAACTAAATTCGTACACGGGAAAAAAGTACTATTGCCTATTATTGATAGATATAACTATGTAACTATATTATTTTAAAATCATCGTATCATTAATAATATAATATATATTCTCGTTAAAATAACACTATCGACGAGGCTGACGCTTCGACGTATCCTCCGATAATACATTTTTTATAATTTTGTACATCTGTTACGGGGACATACCGTATAATAATAATATAATATAAACAGTCTTAAAGTATATTTTTAAACACCTCCTATCATATAATAATTTTAAACGTTCACATTTTAGCATTTAAAATAGATAGAAATCTTAACATTTGTATTCATGATACAATTTCGTTGTTGGTACCTAGGTACCTAGTTCCTAAGTAACGTTGAACTATTACTATAAATGCAAATCAGTCGGTTATTTTGGAAAATTAAATAAAATTAAAGTAAAAAATTGTTCTGGAAAAAAAAATAATTACAAATATATTAATTTTAAACATCTCAGCAAAAATATTCTAATGAAACTTAAAATTTTAATACTCGAACAAATTATTATCTGTTATAAACAATAATAAAATTTATTTTTTCAAATCGACTAATTTTTGGTTTTACTATATAGATCATGATCTCGGCAATCGGCATTTAACTTTTAAGACACGAAAACAAAGTAAATACGGCACGCACACGTAGCATTACGACCCCTCCTCCCATTAATATACCTAATATTAATGTCGCAGCAATAGATCTGAGAAATCTGGGTCGTCATTAAATTTTTCAAAATGAGTACCAACTTTATGTCTGTGCAAAATTCGAATTTTTCATTATTTCACTGCCTAACTATAGCCTATTTATAGGTTTAGCTATGTAACACGTTAAAACGCTAATAGCACGTTGAAGTCGATTGAAAGTTTAATTTTATTTTCAAAAGATGTACAACGATAGTACAAATACACTCGTGTAGGAAAATAATCCGTCTTAAATACATGTGAAGTTACGCGCACAAACTGATAATTGGATATTATTACCATTTAAAGCTTATCGGTTATTTTTCTAAATTCGAGCAATGTAAGTTGGATAGTGCGAACAACAAGCAAAACGACAACTCGAATCGGGTCCATAACATGATGATTTATATTATAACCGTATTTTTCATTAACATTTTGTCAGTTTTTTTTTTTTTTTTTACTCTATATATTGTTATTACGATATTTTAATTCTCCCTACATCTCCCTGTAGATGCTGGTAGGCACTCGAACTCTAAATTTTAAAAATTCAAAATCGTATGTAGTTTAAGTATGACTACGATTCGCGTTCGTCCGAAAAATAAATATCGAATTACCTACCAATCATGCATTATTAAAATCAGATATCTACCCACTGTGCTTTTATTGTACCGTTCACTCATCATATTAAATATATATTTAACATAATATGTGTATACCTACGTAATAATAATATTAAAAAAAAAAAAATAGACATTTTGAAAGTGACTTAACGATTTATTTGGTTTTTAATAATTTTATTGTAATGTGTACTTATAAATTAATCTTACATTCGACTATAAGGTTATTTTCAATAAAAATTATATAATGCATATATTATTATTATAATATATATATATATATAGGAATTAAGATATTTTTTGAACATGTATTGATATAATATATAATAATATTCAGTTTATGTGTCTTTACATAATATTGTAATTTAAAAAAAAAAAAAATTCGGAGCTCTTTATAATGGCACCTTTAATATGATATACGTTTGATAATAATTATATTATATCGCAAAAAATTAATTGGACAAAATGTGCGTTGTAATATTTTTATTATATTATGTATATATAATAATAATAATAATTATGGTGTAATAACGAAATTGTGTAAATATTTTTGTATTGTAAATCTTCCATATTGTATCCTAATGACCAAAATGAAATGGTAAATGTATATTATCCAATATTATAATAATTATAGTATTTTGAAAATCAATATACTCCCTATGTGTTGACTTTGTAACATAGAAACTTCCAGTATACTCCCAACGCTGCCAATGATACTCCTGTCAAATGTGAATCACAGGACCTAAAACATTAATGAGCAAATATATGTTCTTCTTATAATTAAAGTAAACATCAAATTATTCCAAGATTTATGATTTAAGAGGACGTAGTATCAACATGCGTTAACTCTGTTCTCTATTAATTTATAATAATGTGGATTAATTAAACATGCATTTTCACAGTTGATTCTCAAAACAAATATACCTAGATCAAATCTGAATCTTGATGTGTTCATACTGATTATAGATAATAAAAAGATATTTCAAACAGAAACCGCAAATTCAAGTTTACGTAATAAATAATAACTCTTTCACAGATCACAGAGATGTATTTTATAAAGTATGGAGAGATATTACAGGGTTAAAGTGCCTTAAGTGCCAAATTTCAAAGATGTGTCAAAATGATGTATATAGATTTAACAAATTGAAAAATAAATTAGGTACTATAATATTGAAATATAAA